TCTGATGAAGTCTTTATTGACGAAAATCATCACACGAAAACTTTTCCCTCTTTGTCTAAATTCTTTCTCCTAAAAATGTTCTTGATATATACCCGAAACACATATTAAAAAAAAAATTAATTTAAAGTTCCCCACGACCGTTATTATCGCATAGCAATGTCAACATAACAGAATATCATATTTGATGATGAATACCATTGTTTAAATGTCCATATAATCACTCTGAAGATGGCTCGTGTGAGCTCAAATCTTAGTTCAAGGAACAGCATAAAAAATATTCAAACTGTGAACAATTTTTGACTTTACTTTCATCTGAAATTGAAGCAACCATACGAAGTTAAGAACGGCTCATGATCAAACATAATAGGCATTCGTTGTCTGTTATATTTAACACTATATATATATATATATATATATATATATATATATATATGATGAAGAAAAAATTTATGCAAAGAATTAAATAGCAATGTAAATGTGATTAATGGCGAAATCACTTCGCTAACAGAATTAATGAGACATTAACTTATTATCAATTCCTTGAGTATTAAGATACTTATAGTCGAGTTGTTGTCAGCTGAAAGACATATACCAAGTACTTTCGACAATTTGAAAATTCTATCATCGGGGCGCAATTTTCCAATACATAGGCAAACACTAAAACGAAATATGACAGTTGAATATATTGTTTAATATATATATATATCCTAAAAAAAAAGATGATGAAAGGGTGCAACCGTAGTTTCTACCATAATAGGTATCACCAGGCAGTACCTCCAGCGTATTGGCTTTTGACAACCTATATATAATTAATATATATATATATATATATATATATATATAGATCCTTAAAAACTAAGACGCTAAAATGGTCAACTGTGATTTCAATCATAATAAGTACCTCCAACGTATAGAATAGCAGATGCAGGTCGTAAATTGATGGTGCGTTTTATGACATCATACAACGAAACAGAATAACATCTTTGATGGTGAATATCTTGTTTAAATATCCGCATAACCATTGTGAAGACGGTTCATATGAGCCGAAAGCTTACATCAAAATAATAATAAAATAAAAAATATCCAAATGGTGGATAATTTTTGTCTTATTTTCACAATGAAATTAAACCAAATATACGACGCTTGGAAAACTCATAATAAACCTTAATAGGCACTCATTGTCTGTTATATTTAACACTATATGTTTAAATAATAATCTGATTCCCCAATACAGTATATATATATATATATATATATATATATATATATATATATATATATATATATATATATATATATATATAGAGAGAGAGAGAGAGATGGGATGTAGCATATGTATGTGTCCAGTACGCAATTAGGAATCTCATATATTTGTACAATATGTTAAGAAACGTCATATAGGCAAATGCACTCAAGCAAACCTATTTTTGTAATATTAAGAAAAAAAATTAATTATGCAGCAAAAAATGAGCAATTGTTTTCTTTTCTTCTCTTCTTGCAATTCAACTGATTAAATGTGATGACGTGATTATGCTAGTAAAATATTAAACATGATTCCCGTTATAATTAATATGAGATTCCGCCTTTTTATTTATTCAATTCCCCACCCCAGCCGACATATCCAGTCCCTGGAAGTCCTTTGTAATTACCTGCATTTCCGAAGCGAAAACCTACATTTCCTCATATTTTCCGTCATCGCGTGCGTTTTTCGTTTTGAAATTTCTTTTTTTTTTTTTTTTTTAATGATTTTCTACCGACAATAAAAAGAACGAGCTGTAAATTACTTTATCCGAAATATCTTTCAAACTTTGATCGGGTTTTTCATACAACAAAATAACCGAAATATAGAGCTTTCTTTTTTTTTTTTTTTTCTACTCATTTTTTTTTCTCGGAATTTCTCCTTTTATTGTCGACAATTTCTCAATATTTTTTTTCAATAACCTCTTTTTATTTCTCTTTCAGTTTTTTTCTTCAAAATAATTATCGCCTATCTCTTGACTAATTTAATTTCACATTCATTTAATTTGCTTCTTTATTCTTCATTTGTTCTTCTTTTTTCGCAAACACCCTCACTGCATCTATGACGTTGCGTCATAAGGTAGAGAACAATAAACTTAAATGCTTATATCTGCTTACTCGTCAGACTTTTATAAATATATGTGTGAATATCTTAATGGATTCATCACGAGTGTTATTATTTCTATTTTTAAATCCATCTGTGCAAACACATCAAGCCTGTGTGTATGCACATATTCTTAAATATTCTATATTCCGTGTAAATTTACCTGAAAAGCAAGAATATTTCATACAAACTAAACGTTTTTTACCTCAATGGAAATGTCACTGGATGAAGTGTGTCGCTTCAGAAGGGGACTACTTCGAAGTAGATTAAATGCCGAATTGATGTGTGTTACAGTTTGCAAAAATGAAAGCCCACTTAAAAATAAAAAATATTTTTTGAAGTCGAGGAAATCCAAGCAGCTGTAGTTTATTTCTTTGCAGCACCAGTCCCGATACTTTTTGATCAGAATTCGTATATTTTTTCTTCAGGGGTGTAGTCATGTTAAAAGGAAGAAACCTGTAATCCCCAAAACTATGGAAAGACCTGAAATATTAAAGCCTGAAGTAAAATCGATATGGGGCATGATGAAAAGGAACAAACTAGCAAAGCTCGATAGGATTGCTTTTGTCTGGATAAATTGACTTCATTTATTAAAAAAGCTTCGGTCTGGAGAAATGAAAAATTATATATATTCATAAAATAAATTATAACCAAATTGATTTTTAAGGATCGTCTGTATTCATTAATATATGGCTTTGTTAGTTACATTGAACTCTCTTTGGATTAACGTCCTCATTGAAATTATCCCTACTAATTATCAATTGGTCTTACACACACACACACACACACACACACACACACACACACACACATATATATATATATATATATATATATATATATATATATATATATATATATATGTACGTTTATTTATATATAAAGTGCATGGCCGAATGGTATGACCTGGGTTCGAATTTTACCATGATTGATTTGTAATGGAGATAACTTCTTGATTTTATCAGACTCTAAAAGTTATTCCAGCTGCAACACAACTGGAAAATGTCTGAAACACACACACACACACACACACCACAGGTTGACCCAAGCACTGTGAGTGAAATTGGTTAGGCGGTGCTATTCTAAATCGGTCCTTGGTTGGACTAGCAGTGATTTACTCCTTTTATTGTTTTTGTTTTATGCATTTAGTATCTCTATTCATACACGACAACCTTTGTTCATCGTTTTTTTGAGAAATTTTATTGAATTCTATTTCTTTTTAGACCGATTCAGTTAAAAGAAATTGTGGAGAGTCCTGATCGCCCACGTACTGAATAGACACGGCACATAGAAGAAGAAAATCTCCATAAATACCAACGCTTACAAATTACAAAATCAACCTCTTATTAGCAAGCACTTCAGATCTCAGACATGACCCAGACCCTCTGTCCCTAAGGGATTCCATTCCATCCAAATCGTAAACACTCTCATAATTTGTCGCATTCACTAGAGTTAACCTAACACTGACCTGTCGTTCTAAATATCTTATCGATGCCGCCTCGCTGACCCATATCATAGAGTCCAGCCTTGCTTCTCTGGACACAACGTAATGGATGATCGTTCGAGGAACTGAACTTTAATTCAAAGGAGTGGTCACTCGCAGACTAAATGTCAAGATGTCAAGAATTGCGTTCGTCCAATAGAGAAACGCAAAGAACGAGCCTATATCTACGGTCAAGTGGTCAGTGTGATGTCACCTTCCGTCGCCTTCCACTACCACACGTTTAACGAATGTTCAGGTGATTACGCCACCACACCATTTTAGGCACGTCCCAACAGCACGTGCACTGAGTGGACAAATAGTAAATGGAAGGGGTCAGGTAGTTTGATAAACCTTGGTAGGCTGTTAGTAATAATTCGGGGACTATATGTTGTATTCATCGTTACTCTGCGTCTATTTAAATGCTTTAGTTTGTCCCTCCGCCAACAGACTAATGCTGCAGTGGTCACTAAGTTTCGACTCACCATTGTATGGAACCATTAATGTCGTTAACTGGAACTGATTTATATGAGCAACCCAAGAACTAACAGTTACAGGGTAATGGAAAACTACTTGTGGGTGAGATATTAAACGGTTGTGGTAATCAATATTGTGTCGTCTGAGTGACTCTTCACTTTAATTGCTTAATTAATTTTAGTGATTTAAACTAATTGATACTTCTCAACATCGAGCCGATATTTAAAGAATACGAATCACTCTCTATGAAAAAAGTCGAGACCCGGATGTCAGATAAGCAGGAAACTGTGGAGATTCCTGAGTAATTTTTACCTAGTTCTGGGTATGACGATATACTATATCAACCAACCAAATAACCAACATGAAAGTACTGTCTCATGAACTTAATGCATATAATATCCAACATTTTCTAAAAAATTGTAAAGGTTTTTTTTTTTAATTCACTGAAGCAGACGGTAAACGCATAAGAGCATTATCAGTGCCTGTCTGTATGTCTTTCTCATCCTTAATCTTAATTTCTTTCTTCAAATTTTTCATTTGCGATATATACATTCTTTCTTTCTTCGTGTGTATCTCTTTATTTTTCTTTTACTTTTGTTTTTTATTTTCTTTCTCTAAAAAATTTCCCTTTCTTTCTTCAAGTTTTATCGTTGTGGCTTGTTCTTTCTTTCCTTCTCCAAAAATATATATTTGCTTTTTATTTATTTAATTTCTTTCTTTCTTTCTTTCTTTCTTTCTTTCTTTCTTTCTTTCTTTCTTTCTTTCTTTCTTTCTGTCTTTTTCCTTTCTTTCTTTCTCTTTCATTATTTAAGATTTAGTCTTTCTTTTTCTTTCTTTCTTTCTTTTTTCTTTCTTCCTCTTAATCTTTCTGTCTTTCTTCAAATTTTTAGTTTTATGAATTATTCTTTCGTTCCCTCATGAGGTATATTTTTTATTCTTTTTTAACTCTTGCCTTTAATTTTCCTTCTCCAAATATATATATTTGCTTGCTTGCTTGCTTTCTTTCTTTATTTCTTTCTTTCTTTCTTTCTTTATTTCTTTCTTTCGTTCTTTCTTTATTTCTTTCTTTCTTCAAGTGTTTTCCTTTGTGGGTTATTCTTTCTTTCCTTCATCAGGTATATTTTTTCATTTGTTTTTTTTTTTACTCTTGCCTTTAATTTTTCTTCCCCCAAAATATATATTTGATGTCTTTCTTTCTTTCTTTCTTTCTTTCTTTCTTTCTTTCTTTCTTTCTTTTTTTTTCCCTTTGTGGTTTATCCTTTCTTACCTTCTACTTATATATTTCTCATTTTTCTTTTACTCTTACTTTGTTTTTTTGTTCAAACTATATATTTATTCTTTCTTTCTTTCTTATTATATTACTAAATAACGAAAGACGAATCATAATTATAAAATTAGGATACAACTACTACCACCATCACCACTACTACTACTACTAATAATAATAATAATAACTACCAGTACCAGTGAAAATTTCACTATTTGAAAGTTCTGACTAATCCTAATTCTTAATTTTGAATTGATTGAGCAACCTTATCGCGAGGTCCCATCTTTAAAATAGCCGTGGAAATTCCACGATTGCATCATTAAATATTTGAGCTTAACAACTTTTATAAAATATTGCAATAAAATCATATGTATGAATTCAAGTCATTATTTAAAGAAGTAAGGAGGTACGAGGAGATGTGATTCAGTCGAAAGACATTGATTAGATCCAGTGACTAGACCCAAAGTGTTTTGAATTCAATACCAAACCACAGCATTGGTGAACCAAAAAACTTGGAGAGTTGAGTTAAAGGGAAATAGCTGAGGCATGGCACATGGAACTAGAACAATCTACCCCGGTGGCCGAAATAAAGGGTTCCGTTCGAATTTCCAATCACCTGAAGAAGGCCGGAGCGTACAACGGCCGAAACATCGTGAATACGGCAATGAAGATGAGGATAACGTTTCGAGTAAAGTAAATAATGCAAGGGAGTACAAAGTTAAAGATTCCAAATTGAGAAGATTTTTCACTCATTGAAGCAGATTTAAACACATAAAACTTTTATCGCCTCTACTATAATTCATTTCATTTTTCCTTTCATTTCACTTTCTTTGTTTCTTTTATGTTTTCTTTTTCTTGCCTACTTTTATTTTTCATTCCTTTTCCCTCTTTCTTTCTTTCTTTCTTTCTTTCTTTCTTTCTTTCTGTAAAACAAATAAAAACTAAATGGTCCTTTTTTATCTGTGATAATGGCGGAGCGTGGAATATTACTCAACACAAAACTTGCTTTTATACCTCTATTTCCAGCAACACATTTATTCAGCTTCACCGTACCTCAGAGGAGGTTACCCGGAAGTAAACAAAATGGTTAGCAATTTCCACTGTCCGCTGCTGCTGCTGTCGTAAGATGAATGTATGGGGAAGAGGCAGGAAACTGTTGCAAGGCGTATAAATTATATACTAACTTACGGAGAAACGAGAAGAATTATGTGCTATTTTCTTCATGATTCTTAATGATTGATATATAAAGACACATATCTTAAATCTTTCATCAAATATTTGTTTAGGCGTCGATCTTGATTCTTTTTATGCCCTTCTGAACTGAAAACCAATCGAATGAAAATCAATATAGATAGATTATTCAGTGTTAGTAGAATTGCTAAGGTTCTACCATTTTTTCACTAACAGACGACATTTATTCAGATATTCAGAAACAAAGACGCTAACATACACACGTACAGAGAAACGCAAACATGTCCTCATAAATTGTTATTCGTTAACCTTCTCTATTCCAGTTTTTACTTCCGCTCGTCGCCAGGTTTAATCAATCTAATGATGAACCTATCGTTAATGGAGTGGTGAATGGCGTTCGGTTTCGAACCCTTGGGCGATGTTTTTGTTTCTGTCCCAGACGAACACTTGACCATTGAATTATTTGGTTTATTCTAGTTCCCGCCTTTCAAAGAATAACAGCAAAGCAAATGCTTTCATTTTTTTTTTGTTTTGTTTTGGTGTTTTTCTTTTGTTTTGTCTTGTTTTCATTGTTTTTTGTCTTTTATTTTATTATTTTATTTATTTATTGGTTTTTATTTTTCATCTTTAGGTTTTTGTGCTAAATGCCACATTCATGACAGCGCATGAATACGAAAATGAAACTACTTTTTCTTTCTTTTTTTCCCTCTTTTCCAATTCCATGCCATCTCAGCCTGTGAGAAGGGTTGGTTGAATCATAAATGTGTCTGTTAAAGTCTATCTTCATCTTATTTATGTATCATGTCTTTTTCCGGACTGGAGTCATCATAACTCTCCATAACGTCTTGCTTTTGTTAACCGTAGTGATATTCGACTTCCTTTGCCCTTATTCAGCAATCTATTCTTATAAACTGGTTTTAGATTACGCTCTACACCCCCTTACATTGCATTCAAAATTTCCTATGAATGTTAAATTCTTCAGGTTCACTTCTTTCCTCATTATGTTCTCCTCTAATTCCATTTTTTACTTTCTAGTTAAACGTACCACATACCGTTTAAATTTCTAGTATCTTTTTGCGATTTTGTTCGTTAGTGTTGCTGTTCTGCTTTGTTTTGTTTGCTAGAGTCCTTGAGCACTTTCGGTCATTGCCTAGGCAGAAGTTTTTTCTTTTCTTTTCTTTTTCCTTTCTCTTCTTTAGTCATTTCCTTTTTTTCGTTCTTGGTTTCCTTTTCTTTTGTCATTTCCTGTTTTTCTTTTGGCCGGCTTACTATTGGAAAGGTTGTAATTTTAAACTTCCACAATGGTTTGGTTTGTTTCTGCTTATGCATACAGGCGCATCCCCCCCGCCGCACGCACACACCTGGTGCCCGTACTACATAAATTTCACCGTGCTACTAGACTGGCATCTAGGTCCTGCCCTTTTACCGTTGAAATAGTTAAATGTAACCGAAACTTCTACTCCAACTTCTTTTTTCGCATTTCCCGGATGTGGAATTCCCTTCCATTTATTTGCTTCCCTGATAACTACAATATTCCAAAATTTAAATACAACATTATCGCCATCTTCTGATGTCTTGATCCCCGTTCATATTTTATCCTTCCCTCATTGACCCCATACATTTTTCTCTCACTTTCACATATGTAGCCCCCTGCGAACCAGTGACACTACAGCCTTCTTGTTTGGAGTGAAATACATGATATATATATATATATATATATATATAGCGTATATTTTGGCTTCATGTTTTGTCTACTTATTCTTAATAGGTTCCTCTCATATTGATGGATAAGTTTCTTAGTATCCTTATTAATTACTCTGTTGATGCTTATCCATTTATGTATATATATATATATATATATATATATATATATATATATATGTGTGTGTGTGTGCATGTATTCATTTCTTTCTACTGAGTAGAAAGATATGAATACATGCACACACACACACACCCACACACACACACACTCGATCCCCAACATACCCTTTCAAAATACAAATATAATAGCCTCATAGATAAAGCGTGTGTGTGTGTGTGTGTGTGTGTGTGTGTGTGTGTGTGTGTGTGTGTGCGGGGAGGTTGTTTGGGATATTTTTGTATCCAGTTAAAGAAAAAAAATATAGGAACACTTGAAAATTAAGTAAAAACTTAATCACGTTACCTTGTAAGTCATTTTAACAAAAGTCACACACACACACACACACACACACACACACACACACACACACACACACACACACACACACACACACACGTTCAAGTAAAAGTTTTGTCATTTAATTAAACTGTATTTTATCCAACTAAATCTACCAGCCAGAATACTCGAAAAATCTTGTCAGAAAAAAATATGGTTGTTCCTGAATAAAGAATAGAAAATAAATCCAAACAGTCGGTGTAAACGTTTAACAGTAGCTTAAAACTTAAAACTTATTATCCACCGAAACTCAACTAATAAAAATCATCTGATAAATTTCTACCAATTTGACACGAACTGGGCTTTTAAAGAGCGATCAGGTTTACCGTCTCCCTTATCGATCAGCTTCTTTATCGATCAAGTGTTTGGAACGGAATTCGATGGCTGAGGAGTATTGATGAGCTCCGAATCAAACAGATACAAGAATTTAACTCCTCATGTAACGAAACGCCGGAAAATATGAAAGTAATTGAAAAGCGCAAAGAAATAGTAAAATATACTTTTCTGTAAATAAGCAATAAGGTCTTTTGAAGCAAATATCCTATATGCTGAAATCTACATTCTAAATGGCAGTAAGTTTTGAAAAATGTTCTCGCAGATGAAGAAGATACTTGAAGGGACAGAGATATGGCTTTACGGATTTGTAGATGGAAATACTAAGGTCAGAACATATGAATAATGAGGAAGTTTGGACGAAAAATATTTGAGCTGGGATACATAATTAGGAAAGTAGGCTTGGAGAATCTAGCACTCACAGGACATACAGAAGCAGGGTGAAACAACGAGTAACCATGTTCTAAGAAGCGTAGTAAAGGAAAAAAAATTATTTAGACCAGCTGTAGAGTAATTGGCTACGGTTAAGTGTGAGTTTTTACGAAATCTCATGAACCATTTGACACTTCCAACTACCGGCCTGTTAACCATCTATCTCTTTATAGGAAAGCACCTAGAGGCCCCAATCGTCGCAGAGCCTTTTCTCAGACAGATCAACTGCTGATGCACTGACGATAATTACGGAAAGAGTCGATCATGTTCTAGATAAAAACGGTGACTCTCGTGCTGTAACTTTGGACATCATTTGATATGGTTTGGCATACAGGTCTTCTACACAAGCTGAAAAAGTTACGGTATCTCCGGACATTTTTGAACTGATCCAGTCTTTCTTATCAAATTGTGAAAGGAATGTTATTCTGAACGGCCACTCATCTCAATCCTGCCATATTAACGCCGGTGCCCCGCAGGGATCCATCCTTGGGCCAACTCTGT